CAATCACTATTAGAAAGGTTAATTAACATAATAATAATATCTCTAAAATAAGACCAGCATCAGCAAATAAAACACTTTCCCCCCAAAAATGTAAGTTAAGGAGAAATCTAACAATGTTGTGAGGTCGACTAATTGACTCCCTTGGTGGCCGAACGCTAGTCGAGAGCCATCAATGCGTAAATACATTTTTCAAAACAGTACTACAGTGAACAGTACATATTCCCAGCAAGTAATGGGTTAAAACGAAAATTTCAAGTAAACAGAATGGCATGTTCCCCTTCAATATATATTCTCTATATCTGTTCACATGAAGCAAATTTACTGAAAAAACACATCTAAGGTTGACAAAATGAATGTGTAAATATATCAATCATTATGACAACGATTATAACAATAACAATAACAACAATAATAATAATAATAATAACAATAATAAACCACACACGAACATTTCTTGTCTGGAATCTCAATACAAATATTCCCACTGATTAAGCTTCCCTCCTCCTGCTGTCATATAATCAGAGGCTTCTAAAAACACTATCTTATTTGACTTGTCTCGGCTGAAATAACCCAATATTTACTTGAACTGTAAATGACATAAAAACAATAACAAAATGGAGGCAAATTAGAGAAAGACTACATAAATGAATTTAGCTACCTGATGATGCACAAGAGCAGAAAACACAGCAATAACAATCATAATATCAACGGCAAAACAAATAACCTTTAGACAAGAACAGATTTAAATACGTAAATGAATAAATGAAAAAAAAATAAATAAATAAATAAACAAATGAATATATCGCCAAAATGCAAAAAACCAGCACACCCCCTCCCCTTCCCTCCCTCACTTCCTTCCTTCCCCCCTCCCACCGGCCCCGCCCCCACCCCTAGTCCAAACCGGCCGAAAGCACTCACCACTGCTCTGTTTCTTGCCGCTCTCCCCCTTATTTTTGTTGACGACCGAGTGGGCAGAGTACACGTGATTCTCGAACAGCCGGTACATGTTGAACGTCGCGGTACACACTGTGCACTTGTAGGACAGGTGTGCGGGTTTGAGAGTCATCTTGTGGTCTCTGCTCACGTGGTTGAGGAGTTTCCACTGGAACACCTGTGGACGAGGATGGACATTTATGTGTCTGCAAGTGATCTTTCAACACACAGGGAAATGGGTATGATGGATGTAGCTGTTTCCAAACATGCTGGAGAAGAGGTGTGGGCAATACAGCACGATGCCATGAGTACAGGAAAGTGAGGTGTGAATAACACAGGCACTTTGCATGAAGGAAAATAGGTGAATGATGCATATGTGTACAGAAAAAAAGTGTAAATATTTGTAAAACAGATATAAAGCCACATAAAACTGGTGAAAACATGTGTACATGGGTACAGAAAGAAAGATTAAATTCAATAAATAAATCCTTGATATCATATCATAGGCTGAAGTTTCCTCTGAGCTATACAAAAAATACAGGCACACCCAAGTGAACGGCATGAACAGAATGAGTACTCCCCTCAGTAAAAAAAAAAAAAAAAAAAAAAAAAAAAAAAAAAAAAAAAAAAAAAAAAAAAAAAAAAAAAAAAAAAAAAAAAAAACACTATGAAGATGAAACTGTATTGGACATCATAATTAGGGGAAAAGAATCCTACCTACTCCCTGTAATATACATACAACACAGTACATCTAAAGAACGAATAATCGCAAACAAAATAAAGAAATCTCACCTTTCCGCAGATGGGACACCGGCCTGCATCCTTGCCCTTGTTTGCGGCTTCCTGCATGGATGACGTGACCAGCCCATGGGTTCCCAGAAGATGCCGCTCCAAACCCTGGAAAATCGACGAGTGTGAGTACAAGGGACCAGTGTACAGTGGGAGGTAGAATTTCATCATTCAGACGAGGTGAAGTTGAGTGAAATGATCGGGAGAAAAATTAGAAAAGAAGAAAAAATTGTAATTTTCCTTTAATAAAGAGACAAAGAAATTATAAATAATAGAAGACTCTTAATGCCTTATAGAGAAAGCTAAATTTCACAAATATCTTAAAGACAAGAGTGAGGCAAAACATCCACACCTGAAATAATGAAACACCATTCTCCAAACCAACCACCTCATCTTATCATCACAGACAAGGAGTTCGTAAGAAAAATCCCAAACCCCAGTAGAGCCTACGACATTAACCCCCCCCCCCCCAAATCTACAATAATTTTTCCCTCCTTGCTTCCTCTCTCTCTACCTACCTGATCGGTGAAGAATCGGTGCTGGCACTTCTGGCAGTTGAGCGGGGGGCGGTTGTAGATCATCTTGGGGTGGATTTTCACCTTGTGGATCAGGTTCATGTGGTTCCGTAACTGCTCCAGGTCCTGCGAGAGAGGGGGGTGGGTGGGGTCAGAGACGAGACAGGGTGCACAATACGACTGAAGAACAACTACAATCACAGCATCAATGACGATCAATAATTAAGATAATGAAACATATCATGATAAACAACAACTGTAACTAACTTCGCCGACATCCGCTTGACGGTCGCTCACCTTAATATAACCATCACAGATCTCACATATGACAAAGGACGGTTTCCCGCTGGAGTCGCGCGTCGGGGTGGCTCCCTTGCTCACGCTCTGGGCCTGCTGCCCGGCCCGTGGGAGGGGCGTGATGGATATGCTGGGCTGCTGTGGAGACTTCGTGTTCCCAGCTTTGCTTTGTACACTCTGCGGGGGGGGGAGAGGAGCACCGGAGGCCGGCAGTTAGATTAGGTCCGGAGAGGAGGAAGAGAATGTAGGGAGGGAGGAGGGGGGGAGGAGGGAGTCAATATGAGAGAGGAGGGGAGGCAAGAGAGAATGTAGGAAGGGAGGGGGGGAGGCGAGAGAGAATGTAGGAAGGGAGGGAGGGAGGGGGAGAGAATCACAATATGGGAGAGGAGGGGAAGGGAAAACAAGAGGTAGGAAGAGGTGTGGGGGATTGGAGAGGGAGGGAGGATGGCAGAGAGAGGGAGTGGGAAGGAAGAAGGGAGGAGGGGGAGGAAGAAAGAAAGAAATGAGAGAGAGAGAGAGAGAGAGAGAGAGAGAGAGAGGGAGAGAGAGAGGGAGAGAGAGGGAGAGAGAGAGGGAGAGAGAGAGAGAGAGAGAGAGAGAGAGAAAGGGGAGGGGGGAGGCAGAGAAATGTGACTAGTTGTGTAATGCAGAAATACTAAATAAATGGTGAAAATCAAAAAGTAACATGCAAAAGATAACCATTGACAAAAATCCCCTAACCCTTTCAGTCCTACCAATAAAAAAATAAAATAAAATGAAAATAATTGAGAAAGAAAGAGAAAGGAAAAAAAAGAAAGAAAAAAAAAAACATATAAGAGAGATTGAGAGAGAGAGAGAGAGAGAGAGAGAGAGAGAGAGAGAGAGAGAGAGAGAGAGAGAGAGAGAGAGAGAGAGAGAGAGAGAGAGAGAGAGAGAGATAAAAATAAAGAGGTAAAATCAGATGAAATACTATATTTGAATATCATCTGTAAAAGTATAGAATGGGAGAGAGGGTGTAAAAAAGGAGTATAATAATATATACAACCTCTTAATAATTAATTTACCTTTATATTCTTTTTTGCTCACTCACTAGTCCGTAGAGATAAGTCAACAAAATTGGTGCAACTTGTGTACATAACTTTACCTTACTAAACGCTAACTGCCTTCTAAAATACATACTTTATTCCCTCATGAACAATAATGTTTACATGGTGTCACTGCACTAGCTAGTCTTTCCTGTTTGCCTGATTCTGTCAACAACCTAGATGCTAAGTCAAATCTGGAATATCAAAAAAATGATTTCAACGTTCTATCTCACTAGTTTCAAGGTTTAATGGGTTTAGCTGGAACACAGATAATATGGTCTTCAATTCCATCTAAATCCAATCACTTGGAATTTATGCACTGTCCCCTGTAGTTTTTTGGTGAATTTTGTGACATACAGATGGCTCCACATGTGCTCAGCCGGCAAGGAGTCTATCAGCAGGCCCTAGTGACCGATCCTGATTTCCCCATTCCTTGAAATTTGGGAAAATGTGCTTTTCTTTCTAATACTATTGATATCGATGTTGTCAGTATTCTTACTGATATTATAATTATTAAATTGTATTAAAGTCTTGGTAACATTAAAGACAATGAAATAATACAAAAGAAACTTTCCAAAAATCAAGGAAAAGGGTAAAAAGGTGAGATAACTAAAAATAATAACTGACTCCTTGGTAACTACGCACTTGTAGAGCTATCTATGTGTAATGACAACAAATAAACTTATATTACAGTGGGCATGGCATGTATTCAACAGGGTTAACAAATTTTGTCTCCCCCTATAGGAATAGACGACCAAGAAGCATCCTCCCTTCCCCTCTATCTCTGTCTCTCTCTGTCCAACCCTGTCAATTCTTTTCAAGTTGGTTATCTCATAGTCAGCAGACTGAAAATAAAACTGCTACACTGAGCCTATAGATCAAAGGCTTTTTACCTAAACTCTTGGTTAAAAACAAAAACATAAATCACTTAATCTTCACTTAACCCAATGACGCCGGGTGTACAAAAGGAAAATAAAACTCTACGCTCTGGCAAACAAAGGCGGCGCGCCGACTTTGAGCGCCGGAGTACGGGGCGTCAGCCCGAATCACTGGCTCGCCGAGCTTTGGCGCGCCGCCGGCTGGTTTGGCCGCACGCCACCTTTCGAGCGATTTGTTTACACGCGTATCGCCGTCACCCGGCGGCAAGGGGTTAAAGTTAAAAATAATATTCAAAAGCATTCTCCACAAAAGATGCCTCTTTTCTTTAAATGCCTGAACAGAGAATAAACGTATGTCAAATGATAACATAAATATATCAGAATTTCTTACCTCCATGAATAAAAATCCCAAACAGAAAACAAAAAGAAATCGCACTCTAAAAAGTAGTTCACATTCTCCTGTGAACCAACTTTGCACTACAGCCATATAGTAATCTGACCCTATGAGCCTTTGCAACTCACCTTGCAACAAAAATCACAGCTTACTAGACTCTACCCAGTACCTCAATGACAGATTTCATTTCAGCAACACATCCACAGTGCCCCAATTACTTCCTATGTATGTAAATAAATACATATGCAGTAATAGTAAGAATATTACTCTCCCTTTAGTTTCTCACCTGTTGTTCCATGTGTCCTCAAGGGTAAAATTATAACCAGTAATCATCTGCTTCCTTCAAGAAAACTGCTTGCCCATTTTGTAAAACTCTGTCCAAGCTCGACCACATCTTTCATTCTGTGGCTGGGTTCCTTTCTTAAATTCTCCTCTTTTGTAGCCTTCAGTAATCTCTCCCAATAACAGCCCACTAACACTTAAAGGGCTATGGAACATCCCTAAATAGACGAGGTGACAGAGACCTACCCTTTCTTTCTGTCCTTCCCCATGGCATTAACTTGAAGAAATCCCCTTCCCAATGGAGCTGTACAAAAATTTCCCAAATGAATTTACTTGGGAGAAAATCCTCTTTCATCTGGCATTAACTTGGAAAAGAAATAGAGAAAAAAAGAAAGAAAGAAAGAAAGAAAGAAAAAAAACCCTACTCTCTGACCTCAATTTGTAAAAGAAAAAAAAAATCCCATCCCTAAAGAATTACTTAAAGAAGAAGAGGAAGAAGAAGAGGAAGAGGAAGAGGAAGAAGAAGAAGAAGAAGGACTTAACTACACAGTCAACAACAGTAATAAAATGCCCTTTAACCCTTGGCTCTTTACCTACACCTTTTACTTGCTGCTGACTGACAGACTGACCTCATCACCAGCCTCAACAACTCTAGGCTTTTACCTTTTACTTTTCCAATAACCCGAGGACTGACCTTATACGAGACAGACAGGTCCTGGACTCACCTGTATGGTGATGGAGGAGGAGGCGGCCAGTCCAGGAATGAGGCTGACTGGCGAAGTTGAAGAGGACGGTAAGATTCGAGGGACTCGCGCTGCCGACTGTGAAGATACGGAAACACTGCTGACTGAGGAAGCGGCGCCAGACATGGGGACCAGGTGCCCATTGACAAGCTGTGGGTTGCCAACAACACACACGATAATGCTTCCCAAAGGAGACATGGGAAAACACACAAATTACGTCTTAAAAGGGACAAGGAAAATCACTTCTTGTTTTTTTCTTTTCTTCTTCTCTATGGCTTTATGACTTGAGATGTTTTTTTTTTCCCCCTTATTAAAGAACTTCAAATTTCATCTTTCACCCTTTGAAAAAAACTTGTCTCTGTAACTACTAGCGCAAACTCCCCTCCCTTTGTCACTAGAAAAGTCCATAAGTAAAGTAAACACGTACAGTACAATTAAGCATACGTGGCTATGCTCACTGTGCCTGCAAGCGTAACTTAAATAGTAAAGAGGATCTCTACGAAAATAAATGGCGGGTTAAAAAAAAAAAAATCATGTATAAATAAAGAAGTAACGAACTCAAATGACGTAATTTATGCATGTTCCCAAAGACGGGTTATTTTCCGAGGCAGATAACCCGCCTTCCCGAAGCACTATCTGCGATTCCTGGCTGCTGGCTAGACCGAGGCTGACTCAACAGTGCAATGGAGCTGTTTTTTCTCAACCATGTATTTGATTCTAAAACTATTTATTATTGCTCATTTTCTCCATTCTATCTCCCTGATTTTCCCCAAATTTCCTATCAGCCAAGTTGCGAGCTCAGCAGCCAGGGATCTTGCTAATTGCCGCATGACCCCAGGACCGGTTGGCAAAGCTTCAGACTGACATCATCAAGCACGCAAGGAAGAAATACCTCCTTGTACAGGATAATCATGAATAAGAGGAGCATGTTTGAGTAGATAAAATGAGTTATCATCAATACTATCAATGTTATTATTTCCATCATTATCATTACTATCATTCATATGATCATAAACTACGGTAATGACAAAACTGACAACATATATCAATAATTATAACAATAACAACAACAATAATAATAATAACAATACAGTATAGACCATAACAATTCCATAAAAGTAACTCTCCTCTCTTATCTCCACCTGAGACTTGATGACCCAGATGAAGCTTTGCCTCCCCTCCAATACCAGAACAATTCAAACAGCAAAAACAAAACAAAAAAACAACTGCAATCAAATACAGAAAGAAGAGGGCAAGAGCTCACAGATGATGCAGCGAAAGCAACAGAGAGAGAGAATGAGAGAGAACAAGAGAGTAGGAGGACTGAGGGCCATGCGATCACCTCTGGGGTCGGCTGGTGCCAGCCGCCACGCAGCATTCCTCTGCCGTTGTCGTTATTCAAGATTAAGAACACAAATATAACAAAATAAGGAACAAAAGAAAAATTGGATTGTTAGTAATGCTCCTTCAAGCTAAAAGCTGTCAAGGGGTTGGCACAACTCTGGAAATAAGGTAAGTAGGCAACAAAAAGTAAAATACTGTGATATTTATGAAGTATTAAATAACACTAGAAACAAAGGAAATGTATACATATATATACATACA